TGTGACATTACTTTTCCTTTTCTTGAGCATTACTTTGACAGGATATGGGTGGAAAACCAGTTTAATTATAACTGCATGAGAGGCAGTGATGTTATTGCACAGCAGAGCAAATCAACATTCGAAAAAACAATTCTAAATATGCGATCAGCCCAAACAAGAGATTATAACTTTGAAAGAAGTTTGGATCATCACCAAATTTGGCACAAATGTAGCAGAGAGACTGCTCTTGCTCTGTGCCATATTTGAGGATGTTTGGGTGAAAGGTTTTCAAGTTATGATTTCTGAAATGTACCGTATTTTTCCGTGTACACGGCCCCCCAATGTATAAAATGACCCCCTAATTTTGACCCTTGATGGAGGCGGAGGAACAGCTAATGGGCAACTCCTCCTCCATTTCCATCTCCTTCTCCTCCTGCTGTTTCCACTGCCCATCCGATCACCTTCTCCAGTGCGACTGCCGGGGCTTACCTCCAGCTCACGTGGCTGCCTTGTCCCCTGCCCTAAGGAGACGATTGCTGGAGGAGGTGATCCAGCGGCTGCACCAGGAAGAGGTGTCCGAGCGGGCAAGAGTGCAAGTGCTTGTTTGCCTCCCCCACCACCGGAAGGGACAAGGCGCCACGTGAGTTGAGGCCGTCAGTCCCACCGGAGGTGGTGATCAGGCAAGCAGGGGAGGCAGGAGCAAGAGGCACCTGAGCTTGTGTGACTGCTCCTTCACCTCTGCCTCCTGCTGCCTCGGCCACCGGAGGGGACAAGGCGCCAACGTGAGGTGAGCCTGTGAGTCCCACTGGAGATGGTAAATGGGCAGGTGGGGAAGGCAGCAGCAAGAGGCACCCAAGTGCGTGTGAATGCTCCTTTGCCTCCATTTCCGCCTCGTGCTGCTGCTGCCTCACCCACCGGAGGGGACAAGCTGTGAGGTGGCGGCAGCAGCAAGAGGTGCCCGAGCACATGTACGACTGCCTCCTTCCATGTATAAAACAATCTTCAAATTTTCCTCTAATTATTTTAGGGGAAAGTGTCATTTTATACATGGTAAAATACATTAACTGTTTCCCAGTGCAGAAACAAGCAACTTTGAACATACGCAGATTTAAAATTGATCAAGTACATTGAAAAAAACAATCTTGGTTATCTTGGCAGAGAATTGTTGGCCCCATCCCTTTTTATTTGGCAGGACTCCAAGCTACAAGGGCTGAAATGCTGATCCTGAAAAAAGGCCTTTTTAAAAGGTAAAACTGTGACTTGGTTATAAACTTAGAATGTGTGGAACAGGTTTACTAGCAAGAGTGTTCCAAAGTAAATACATCGTTGCAACTTCATGGCCACTGAAGGGAGATGTTTGAAGGGCAATGAAAGGTCACCAAAACAGTCAAAATAAAGATTTTCTTAGAAGTGGCAGAAAAACAGATTTGCTTTAAAGAAAGTTATGGAGTGACAGCCCTCCAGAAAGGGGGGAATTTTGCCATGTATCTCCAGTGAATCAACATACAATTTTGTAAGGCCTATTCAAAAAAAATTCTACATTACAAAACACAGAGCAATTGAGTTTGTCCAGCCCTGAGTACTTTCAGTAAACATTCCCTCAGGATTTCTGAGACCAGACTCCTGACATAAGTCTTCAAAGAGAAAATCAGCTCCAAGCTTGGGGCAATCTGAACGTCTGACCCTTTCAATCAGGACCCAATTAGCTCTCTCTCAGGAGGAGGACTTTTTAACTCCTCCTTGGACAAACAGGCATTGATACTAGGAAATGGATTCTGTGTCTGGATGTAAAGTATTTTTTAAAATAAATAAAAAAGAATGGATATTGACTCCATTTAAGATGTTAAATTATTATTATTAGCAGATCTTTGGTCCCCATATCTTGTCATATTTTTCAACCATTCCACCCGTCTTGTCACTACACAATTGTCTGGGCTTTTTTCTAGAAAAAAAAAAAAACACCTCCAAGGATGTTATGTGCTCTTGGATCTGGTGACTATATAAATTAATGATCTCCAAAATGTCATATCATTAATGTGTCTACTCAGATCTTGAAAATCAGCAGCATCTCATCTTAGGTTGTTCTCTCTTCTTAGTGATCTCCCTCCTAGCAATATTGTCTTTTCCAGTAACATCTGCTTAAGTCTTGCAAACTAACATATGATTTCCTTTACTGAGACAATCTGCCTCTGGGTTTAGGAATGTGGGATACTGTAATACTGTATCATTCACACTTGTCGAAAAACAACCCTGACAATTGGTTTGTGGTTGGGTGAGAAGTAGTTAACTGGTGAAAAACTGAGTCCGCTTCTGGGATTTTCTTTTGTGTGGTGTCACTTTGTGAATGGTAGTGAGCACAAGAGGATTTCCTATAGACCACTGCTATTGTCAACATTCAGGCTACCCTTTCCTATGTAAAGCCTGGCAGGCATCCTTTTTCCTGCTGACAAAATGGGCACAATATTATGCAACAATATCAAGCCATTTCCTGGCATTTTTACTCATGGATACAGAAGCACAACGTCCCACATTCATAACCTAGAGGTGTTTCTTTAAACAACTTAATTCACAATCTAGACTTGCACAATTAGTGGACTACCGGTCAAAAGGCAGTCCACCCAAGCCACTCTCTGTTTCCTTATTTTCTCAGTCACAATCAGGCAGCAAAATCAAGTAATACATTGCATAGCTGGGAAATTTATAATGAGACATATTTACTGGGTAGGGCCAGAAGCCATAGCATTACTCGTCAGCTGATATGCTGAGAATAAGCCACTGTGTTTGCACAAGGCCAGCTTGACTATCTATGCTTTTTGGACTGAAATAGCTGAGTGGAAGCAGCGAGTGGGGTGGGAAGCCATTATCTGTACATTCCTGTATGGATTCAAGGTGATCTTACATCAGAAAGAATTTCAAAGGACATTTGGTTCACAGGCAGCTGTCATAAAATGTTGCAGTCCTACTACTGTTCACAACTGTGGTGGCAGCTAAGTTTGGGAAAACCTTTGGGTGGGGCATGATAGCTCCTAATGTTCTCCCTCCACCATAGCCAGCGACTTTTCTAGGTAGGGGATACTAGAAGCTGTAGTCCAGAAAGTAATGTTTTGAAGCTTTGAGCAGCAATAAGTGTCATAGTGGCCTCAAGTCAAAAGAAGTGTAATACATACCTGGAGCCAGTTTGAGGGAGCACTCAGTTTACTTTCATGGACTATATATTGTGCAACACTGCTATAACCTAATATAATGTTTTGAGATACAGTGGTGCCTTGCATTACGATGTTAATTCGTTCCAGCGAAATCGCTGTAGAACGAAAACATCATAAAGCGAAATTTAAAAGCCCATAGAAACGCATTAAAACCTGATTAATGCGTTCCTATGGGCTTGAAACTCACCGTCCAGCGAAGATCCTCCATAGTGCGGCCATTTTCGCTGCCCATGTAGCGAGGAATCCGTCCCAGAAAAGAGCGGGGAGCCATTTTTTTACCCGGCGGCCATTTTGAAACCGCCAATCAGCTGTAGGAAAATCATCGCTTTGTGAGAATCGGTTCCCGAAGCAGGAAACCGATCATCGCAAAGCGAAATTCCCCCATAGGAAACATCATTTTGCAATCGCTTTTGTGATAGCAAAAACTTCGTTGTAATGCGATTTTGTCGTAAAACAGAGTGCTCGTCTTGCGAGGCACCACTGTATATTTAGTCAGGAGCCCTCCAACATGTTCTGCTGCAAGCAGTCATTTTGAACTACATTCTATTCAGGAGTACAACGGCAACATCATCATAACCTTCATTTGGCCAATTCTTCAACCTCATATGCTGCCTTCATTAGGTTTGGCTGGCAGGGACCTTTCTGAGCTGGGGTGACTGTCAATCAATCTAGCAGTAACCAACCGTTCCAAAGGCACACTTCCTTGCTCAAGTATCTTTTCCCTTCCTTTTTTAGTCAGTTGTTAGTAAGTCTGTTAAGAGCGCAGTCAGAATGAAGTCTGCAGGAGTCTGCTAAGGCCTAATGCTGTGATCAGTTATATTTTTGTAAAGGATGCTGTTTTTGATCTATTCCGTACTGTGAGTAAATGAAACCTTTTTTCCTTCTCTTACCAATGTGTCAGAGTCAATTATACAAGTGCTAGTTGATGAGACAATAAGGAGTGGTCTACTCATGGGAGACTTGAAGCTAAATCTTCTCTGCGAGTCCCTGCACTTCTGCTGCAAAGCTAGAGATATTTTTTCTAACCAAGATTCAATATTCTGCCAAGAATTAGTTCCAACAAGAGCAAACTCAGTGAACAAATAATATTTATTAAAGCAACATTGACTCAATGGGTGTACTCTAGTTGGGACTAACAATTGGATTTAGCACATTTTCTTGTGATTTCTCTCCCTGTTGTATTGTGTGTGTGTGTGTGTGTGTGTGTGTGTGCGTGTGTGTGTGTATGTATGTATGTATGTATGTATGTATGTATGTATGTATGTAATATTTTTGGCTCCAAGGCAGCTTAAATGTAATCCAAAAAGTAAAAAACCCAGAAAAGTAGCATCAATAACAAACATGTTTCAAAGCTGTTTTCTGAGTGTGAATAGGCTTTACGGGTCATGTAATACACTCTGCACTTTTTTCTTTATATAGAGCATTCAGTATATCCCAAAGTTTTGTTGCTAAAGCCCATTAAATTTGTAGAAAAAGCACATTTAAAACCAAAACTGTTAAGTTAAACAGAACCTCTAATTTTCCTTTCCAAAACAGAGGCACAGCCAAGAGACAAAAAAAAAGAGTAGAGAATAAGACAGGAGATCTCTCTGAAACAGACATCTGGAACCAATCTGCAGCATGTAGCCACCGGGTGTCATTTTTGATATATTCTAGGTCAGCCATGAAGCATTTCATGGCAGAGAAAATTTATTTCAACCAGGAAAAGCAAATGTTACCAAAACAATGCTGAGTGGAGAAATCTACAGTGCCTTGCTTCATCTGGGAACTACAGCAATAAGAAAAGATCGGATTTGTCTGTAATGCAGGCATTACCTTTCTGTCTGGAGCGTGACTTTGGAAGGCTCCACATTTGGGTTCTCCCATTCCATCTGGGGGCAGTGCATAAAATAGCAGAGTGTGTACAAAGCTTCTGGTTCCCAGTAGAGTGACCCCAGCTTGTGATGCAGGGGAGTGCTGTTGCTATGTTGCTTCGCAGTGAGCGGCTGCAGGTGATGCATTGCTCGAGACACCAGGTCACCTGGAAAAGGAGAAGTCGAATGACTGCCACGATTGTTATTATTACATCGCTTCACTGTTTAAGCATCAGTCATGAGATACTCATGCTGTGATCACGCAAATGTTAGCAAAACAGGGTTAGGTCACAAGATTTATTCAGAAGGGCAAATGTTACTCTGGTATCCTTCACACACATCTCTGATATAAAAGAGTCCATTCATTAATACTTTTATCTTCCAAGAAGGATATTTATTATTTCTTTTATACTTCTCCCCCCCCCCCGTCTTTCTGTCAAAAAGGGTATCTGAGGTGGCTGATAATACAGTATGACATAGATTAGCAACAAAACAACATTTTGATCAAAACACAAAATCAAAGCAAATAAGTTAAAAACTCAATTAAAAACTTAACAGTGAAAAGCAAAAGCAAAGCAAAGCGTGCTGCGAAAAACCCAATTAAAAACTTAACAGTGAAAGCATAAAAACAGTAAAAAGCAAAGCGTGCTGCTTATATATCACCCTATAGCGCTATAGTTGGGTCAAAACTCCATAGTTTTGACCCAACTCCGAGAGGTAGTGGAAGACAGGAGGGCCTGGCATGCTCTGGTCCATGGGGTCACGAAGAGTTAGACACGACTTAATAGCTAAACAACAACAACAAATAGCACTTCAAACACTCTCTGGGTGGTTTACAAGTTAATTATGCAGGCTACACATTGCCCCCCCCCCAGTGAGCTGGGTACTCATTTTACTGACCTCAGAAGGATAGAAGGCTGAGTCAGCCCTGAGCCAGCTACCTGGGATTGAACCCCGGGTCGTGAGCAGTTTTGGCTGCAGTACAGCAATTTAACCACTGCGCCAAGAGGCTCTTTTTTTAAAAGGCTTTTCATAGGCATCCTTCAATCTCGAGAGACTATGGTAACATGCTCTGTATCAAGAAGTATCCTCTCTAGAACATGAAGCCTGGGTAAAGTAGTATGGAGGATAGGCTGTTACCCAAGCAGCAAATCCCCCCTCTCCAGGTTGCTGAAATGGTCCAATGGAAAGGCAAGAGCCAATACAACTGGTTCCAGCAACGCCGCAGGAGTTGGCAGAACGACACGAACTGTCTTCATGCAGTAAAACCAGTAAAAGCCACCAATCCATCTGTTTTATACCATTCAGTGGTAACTTCTTTACATGCCAAAGGCCTGCTTGTAAACAGTAAAATATATGATTGAAAAAAGGATGGAATGGGGGAAGAAACCCGATAAATATAAGGAAAAATCTTCAACTAATAGTTTATATTGGTAACTCTCTTGAAGGTTTCCTGCTACGTGCTGCCATTGTGGTGGGTGTAGCAGAAGTGAGGCATAGCCTGCTCCCGTCTGCACTGTGCCAAGGAAGAGTGGTAAAACTGGATGACTGCCACCAGGAAAAGACCTCTATTAGAAGCCTCAAAGCGCTGCTGCCACTTGATAAAAGCAGGCTTGCATGGACCAATCGTTTTACAACATATGGCAGCTTCATACTATGAGGACATGGTTCTCCCACTTTTTCAGTGAATTAGCTCAGAGTTCCATGCTTCCTATATTCTGCATCTTCTAATCACACAGAAAGCACTTCTATCAAGAGCCAGACTAGATGGCAGAGATAACCCATCATTAGAACTGAGATCATGTTAGTGAATCACCCAAAATATCAGCTCCTGGTTCATTTTTACAGCTGATTGAACTATAGCGACTGGTTTCACAAATCAGGGTCTTTCTGTTTGGGAAACCAGCCACAAGTAATGCCTTTCCTAGAGAAAGCCACCTGTAACCACCCACTGAATTTCATCACTGACTGATTTTCAACAAGTTGTCACAGAAGTCACAGTGCTTCCAAGAGGCATTGGGGGACTAGCTAGATGCTAGTTATTTATACTGCTGTGCACATTTTTGCTAACACTTCTTAATGCCTTAAAATATCTGTTTCCATTAAACTCGTATGTTAAATTTACTGCAGTATTTTTTAAAAAATATCCACAGATTTGGTTTTTGAATTTTTGTTGTCGTTAGGCCTATTGCTGTTTGTTGTGGGAGTAAGATAATCAAATAAAGAAGGCAAAAAGAGAGAGTCCTAAATATGTGGCATTACACAAACACACTGACAAATTTACACTGTCCTTTAGGAAACATGCTCTCTGAAACTATATGCCTTTTTTAGGTGCCCCCGCCCCTCATCAGCCAAAAAGACAGCTGTTCTTTTCTTACTAGGAAACAGTGGCATCACCCATAAAGCATATGTTCTACCCAAATCAAAAAGCCACAGTTTCTGAATCAGATGACTTCCTTTGGCAAAAGAGCCAGACACATTCCAATATGTTGCTCCTGGCAAGAAATTCATTCCAGCACACAGTATTTGTTTTCCTTGCGACTGAAAGCATATGGTGAAATTCCACCTCCATTTCAAGAAGCAGAAACTTTCTTCTTTCTCCCTAATTGTCTCTTGGAGAGCTAGGATTGCATAACTCAGATTTCCTGATATTTATGCAATATTTAACAGGAACAGCATGCATGTGCTGCCGGAACAGCATGCAGAATAATCGTGATCTTAACAGAAAGAGTTACAGTTTAAACAGTAGGTGTGAAGGGCAGAAGGGCAAAGTTTACCTGCATCAGGTATTATGGATACCAGGACTGAGGATTTGAGTACTGTACTATTTTGTCTCATGGGGCAACCAACCATATAGTGGAGCTGGGTAATGGGGGTAAGGGGTGGGTAAAAACATTCAGAGTAGAAAACTGACAGAGACATTTGATAAAGGTATCAATCATGTGCCCTAATAAGATAATCTCTTGCTGGATGAAGATGTTGAGGTACAACTGAAATGGAAACAATACCAGTATTTACCAGTAAACAATATTTACTACCCGGTCTTATGAATACTTAATCAAAAGAAATAATTTTCACTCAGGTCAGTGGGATTTTTCTCATTTAAATTGTTCAAAGGATTGCAGCCTTTGAGGCGAAAACAAAAGAGGCAGAGGCTTTGCGATCAAAACAGAGCTGATTTAACCAATAAAGGAAGTATGATTATCCTCTGAAATTCACTCCATTCCAAATTATCTTATTTTTGTTAGTGGTTGGTCGTTAGGAGGAAATAACAGCTATGTTCCATGGTTAATTATGCAAGCACAGCATGTATGAAGATGTATCTCTGGAAGAATAATGTACTATTTTGAAATTGACTGTCTTGCAAGTTTTGTATTGTAGTTTATTGTTTTTGTTTACTAGGACCATAATATGGTAGTGTTCTTTCATCTCTGCTAGCTTCCAGTCTGTGTTCAGTTTAAAGTGTACATTTTGATTTACAAAGCCCTTCATGGTATGGCACCACAGCATTTGAAGGATACTTGCAATCACACATCTTGCCCCATCCTTGACTGATTTCAGGATGAGCTTTTGGGTTTGCTCCAACATGTTCTTGATTGGCTTGAGATCACCATCTGAGGTCCTGACTGGAGTACCCATACATACAGTAAATAGTGAACCTCGCAGCGTAGTTGAGCTGCAGTATTGCAATGAAGACTCTGCTTGTGACCTGACTTTGATCCTGGGTTCAGGGTTGGCTCAACCTTTCACCCTTCTGAATTTGGTAAATTGAGTACCGAGACCTGGGGGTGGGATGGGCAGCCTGCATAATTAAGCAGCAAACTGCCCATAGAGAGCTTTAAGCATTATGTGGTGGTATATAAGCAGGACACTTTGCTTTGCTTTGCTTTGTGTGACTGGTTATTCATGACTGGGGCTTTTCTGTGGTGGCTCCCCAGTTGTGGAATGCCTTCTCTAGAAAAATCTGCCTGGCACCTTGTTGACTTTTCAGTGCCAAGCAAAAATACTTAAAAACGATCATTCTCCATGCTGCCCTGTTATTTATCTTCTGCTTGCTGCTTCTAAGTTACATTTTTCATTCATGTTCTATGGCCTTATTATGCTGTTGTAGTATGTTTATTATAGTGAAGTATTATGTTTATTGCCACGAGAGATTCAAGTACACAGCAACTCATAAAGGAAATACCATTTTTTTAAATTTTTACTATCACAGAAATTGTCATTCGAGTTTTCTGCCTTAAGTACAAGAATCTATTGAGGTACTCTTAGGCTTCTTAACAATGAGAAGAGACTCAGATGAATGGAGAGCTCAGACTGGAATTTAACAAGAAATAAAAAAGGAACATTATTATAAGATTTTCTGCAAAACATCTCCTGTCGTATATAAAGAATGTGGCCAGTATTAAATCCTTTCATTGATTTTTGTTTCCCCCTCCCTGCTCTCCCTGAAAGATAACTCAAAACAGCTTACCAAAAAATCATAGCAATTATCCATTAAAATAAAATTATAAAAAATCATTAGTTAGCAAAATAAAAAGACTCTGGTCAAAACAAACTACACCAAGTGCCACTTCTGTATGCCGCTGTTCTTTGGCCTAAGGAGTGAAAGCATCTAGTCCAAATGCTCCTTGCAATCTGGTCTGCTCCTTTTCATCCCTGTTGGAAAACGTCCATCTCCTGGTAATTTGCGTCCCTACCTTGTTCTCTGTCACATTTGCTCATGTATCCAGACTATTATAAAAGTAAAGAGAAAGCTTTTCTGCTGACCTACAAATGCAATTTGATCTACAAAAACAAATGTTTGTATACAGCTGGAGAGCTGAGCAGAGAGAGAGAGCTGTTGCTGAAATAATGGTGAAGAATATGAAAATACTGGGACCAATTCTCCACAAAAATACAGTCTTAAAGTCAATAAACAGGAAATGGCCACTGGTATGGCTGGTAGAGAAGAAGGGCATCCCAAAAACTGCAGAGATGATGAATTCAGAATATTGCAGTTTTGCTGACTTTACAATATTCTTATGACTCAAACCTTTCATTTTTAAAAAAGTTCTTTTTTATTTTCCTGCTGTGAGAAAATAACTATGATCAGAATGAAACCTATATCCTCTGATGTTTGTAATTCCCAATAGATTGAAAAAGGAGGAGTGGATTTTTCTGTACAGTC